GACAAGGACTTCGAGGAGGTCATTAAGATTCAATGAGATCATAAGGATGAGAACCTAACCCCTTAGGACTGGTGTCTTCATAAGAAGAGGAAGAGATATCAGAGCTCTCTCTCTTTCTGCACACACATAGAAGAAAGGTCATATGAGGACAGAGAGAAGGCAACCATGAGCAAGCAAGGAAGATTGGCCTCACCAGATATGAACCCTTCTTCCACCTTAATCTTGGATTTCCAGTTTCCAGTACTCTGGGAAAAGAAATTTTGTTGTTTAAGTTACCCAGTGTGATATTCTGTTATGGTAACCCCAATAGACTACTAGAGCTGTCCATTTATTAATTCACAGCTCCTGTTGGGTAGAAATCTGTTTATGACACATTTGAGTTCTCTTACTACAAGGCTAGAGTCAAGTTGTGAGCGGGGTTCTGTTCTTATCTGCAACTTTGGATCCTCTTCCAAAGTCATTCAGGGTCATTGGCAGAATTCAGTCCTTGCAATGGTTCCTCTTTCCTTGCTGGCTATTGACTAGAGGTCACTCTTAGCTCCTAGAGGCCACCCTCCTAGCTTAACCACATGGCTCACACAACCTGGCAGCTTACTCTTTCAAAGCCACCAGAAACTTTGACTTCTTAGATTCTCTAGTAATTGTTCATCTGATAAGATCATCTCCCAGTGAGTAGATCTACCGTAGTCTGAGCAAGAGGTTGCTGAGGCAACAGTCAAATCAGTGTTCTTCTCCAAAGCCAGAAGATGTTTCAGGACATCCTTTCAGGATTCTTTTCAGACTGAGAAGATAGAGAGATCTATGGGAAATCTGATTCTATGACTCTCTTCTTGGGAGACGAAAGGACTAGGCCGCAGACACTGATACTGAATGTCTCAAGTCCTTTGTCTCTGCCTCACTTATTGTCATTTCTAGTGAGGAGAAGAAGCAAGTATTCTCTTCTCCCAGCTTCTTCAGCAAGGAATGACGGCATCTCTTGTTCTACCTTTCTTACTGCCATTCGCCACAACCATGATGAATGGTTTTATGATCCTAAAGCCACGATCCGTGCAATGGTTGCCTTCCAGAGGTTTTGAAAGAGAATGAATTTAAATGCAGATGATCTCTTCTGTATTTAAAAAAAAGCCTGTGTGGTCAGAGCAACTGTGGGAGTGCCAATCTTACAGGCTCTTTACCCTCACTTGATGGACACCTCCGAAAGGTCCCCAGGGAAACTCTGGAGTGCATAGATACAATATAAGAACATATAATGACAGAGGTTTGATTTATACCAAGACTGCTATTTCTGGAAAGGCGGAATAGATGAACTTTTTCCTATGCTTCCTGTTACATGCAACATAAAACCACGGACATTATATATAAAACAAGCATAAGATTCTGAAGGTGGAGAGAAAGAAGCAGACTAGCTAAGAACTTCAGAATCCAAGGACTGATATGGTGGTAAATTTTCTGGGTTTTCTTTTTGCCTCTTATTTTTCAGACTTGGAAAAAGAAAGAAAAAAAAATGGCAGCTTGAAAACACCAATGGGTGCAGAAAAAACACGTAGAAAACTTACATGATAAAAACTACACAACAGTAACGAAAGAAATTAAGGAAGATCTAAATAAATACCTAGGCATATCATTTTCCTGGTAAAGATGTTAATTCTTCCCAAACTGATATAAAGATTTAATGTAATTCCTATCAAAATCTCAGAATGTTTCATGCAGGGGAGGGGGACACATTTAAAAATGTTTATGGAAAGGGAAAGGAACTAGAATATCCACAACAATTTTGCCAAGAAAAAGATAAAATGGAAGGAGCCAGTTTACCCACGTTCAAGACACACTTTATAGCTACAGTAATCAAGACTACATGGTATTGACAAAGGTACAGACGCACAGATCAATGGAAAGGAACAAACAATCCAGAAATAAACTCACACAAATATGACTTACTACATTTTGACAAAAGTAAAAAAGAAAATCGATGGAGGAAAGATAGCCTTTTGAACAAATGGTGTGGGAAAGATTAAACATCCATGGGGGGGGGCGGGTGGAATACCCTCGAGCTACGTCTCACATCTTATACAAAAAGTAACCTAAAATGGATTCCAGATTTAATATAGAATGTAAAACAATAAAACTTTTAGAAGAAACAGAAAACATCTTTAGAATCTAGTGCTAGGCAAAAAGTTCTTATATTTGACACAAAAAGTTCAATCTATAAAAGGAAAAATTGATAAATTGAACATCAAAATTTTAAAAAACAGCTTTGCTCTATGAAAGACTCCATTAAGAGTATGAAAAGACAAGCTAACGTGGGAGAAAATATTTGCAAATCATATCTCTGACAATGGACTAGTACTTAGCATCTATAAAGAATGCTCAAAGTTCAACAGTAACAAGCAAACAAACAATTTAAGTAGACAGTGAACAAAAGAGATGAAGAGACATTTCACCAAATAGAATATATAGATGGCAAATCAGCGCATAAAAACGTGTTCAAAATTACTAGCCTTGGGTATGTGCGTATTAAAACCCCAGTGAGCTATCACTACAGATCTATAAAAAGGCTTTAAAAAATGGTGACAGCACTTAATGCTGGTAAGAATGTGAAAAAATTGGGTCATTCATACATTGTTGGTGGGAACATAAAATGGTACCTCCACTCTGGGTAAAGTTTGGCATTTAAAAAAAAAAATTTATATATATCCTGCACATAATACATAAAATAGCAATTGTGCTCCTGGGCATTTAATGCAGAGAAATGAACTAAAGTTCACACAAAAACACAATAAACAAATGTTCCCAAGATGTTTATAATAGCTTTATCCATAATAGCTAAAAATGAGAAATATACCAAATATCCTTCAATGGGTGAATGGGTATGCAATCTGTGATACAACCATATCATGAAATATGACTCAACAGTGAAAGGAATGGAGTGTTGAAACATGCAACAACCTAGATTAATCTCCATAGAGCTATTCTAATTGAACAAACCAATCCCAAAAGGTTATATACTATATGATTCCATTTCTATAATATTCTTACATTTAAAAAAAATCCAAAATCCCCACAAAATCATAGCAAACTAGGCACAAAAGGGAGCTAGCTTTATTTAATACTGGTATCAAAACAAAACCTAAAGCAAACAAATATTAAAACCATTCCCTCTGAAATTGTATACAAGATAAGAATACTCATTACAAATACTTTTGTTCACTTGTATACTCTGAAATTGTATACAAGATAAGAATACTCATTACAAATACTTTTGTTCACTTTATTCAGTTAAGCAAGAATATGACTGATGTGAATAAAGTTGATAAAGGGAAAAATGTTACTATTCTGGGTAAATATCTTTTGGGTATGCAGAAAATTCCAAAGATCCTATTCATAAATTAGTAAATTGAATAAATGAATATAGTAAGTTTCCTAGCAATACAGTCAATGTAGAAAAAACAATTTTTTATATATGAGCAACAAACAGATAAGAATGAAAATATTTGATGTTATTATCATAACATCAATAATATCAAATCTCAAAGAATAAATCTTTTTTGCAAGCCTTCTACTTAAGAAGAACTACAAGATTTTATGAGAAAAATTAAAGATGTTATAAATAAGGGGAAGCATATGCCATGTTTATGAATTGGAAAATTCACTATTTTAATAAAGTCAATTTCCTCTAATTGATCTATAAATACATACCAAACAGATTTGGGGAGAGGGTGGAGATTCACCAACTAATTCGAAATTAACATGGAAATAAAAAGGGCCAAAATGAGTTAAGACTGTCTCAAAAGAGAGCAATAAACTCTACCATATATCAATACTTACTGTTAATCTGTAGCAATTAAGACAGTGTGATATTGGCATATGAATAGAAAAATAAATGAGAGAATAGGGAACCCACACACCAATGAATCCTTTTTTAGATGACAGAATTGGCATTTCAGAGCAGTAGGAAAAAGAAAATATTTTCAATAAATAGGGCTATTGAACAGATGTAAATATTTAAAATAATGGAACTTGACTACTCCTTCGCAATACACAATACAATAAATTCTAGTTGGGTTGTAAATATAAATATTCAAAGCAAAACAATGAAGTTGCTATGAGATATTGTAGGAGAATATGTTCATCGTTTAGAGCGGCAAGACTAATACAAACATACTAAGGTAAAAGATTGACATGTGGGACCATATTTATTAAAATTAAAATTATATTAAAACGAAAATTTGATTCATCAAAGTGATTATTAAGAGAAAGAAAGCTAAGTTGAAGTGTGGAATAAAGTATATGTAGCAACAAGAGACTCATATCCAGAATAAGTAAAGAATGCCTACAAATCGATCAGAAAGCAACAGCCTTCTTCAATGAAAAGTGGGCAAGAGATTGAGTATTTTTTAAGTTATGACATTTATTGCTATCATTTATTGAGTATTGAAACTCTGCTGGGACAGTAAATATATATGTAGGTTTTACATACATTATGTCATTTAATTCTCATAATAACCCTATAAAGGAACTATCCCACCTCCAGTTACAGATGAGGAAGTAAAGGTTGGAAAAGTTATTTAATTATCCCAATTTTACATACCTTGTAAAAACCATGCTATTATAGAAGACCTTTCATTCAGTATTACCCAATATTTATGAAACCTTTACTAAGTTTTTATATGTATATAAAGGGATATAAATAAGATTTGGCTGTAAATAAGGGCACAAAGAAGACATAACAAATTTACTTGGAGTTGGAGGTTGGTGAATAGATAAAGACTTAATAGAAGAGATGACCCTTTGCCATCCTGAAAATTATTTCATTGAGTGAAATGTTGAAGGGTTAAGAAGAAAAAGAGTGTCCTGGGTGAAGGGAGAAGATCAGAAAATTATGAGACCTTTTCTCTTTCTTCCCTTCCCTTCCTCTCCCTTCTCCTCCTTTCCTTCCTCTTCCTTTTCTAGGGTTAGGAGACAGTGATAGTGGCACTAGGGTTTGAGAAGGTAATGAAGCAGAAAATATGGAACACTTTACAAATATGCATGTCATCTTTGCACAGGGGCCATGCTAACCTTTTCTGTATTGTTCTAATTTTAGTATATGTGCTGTTGAGGTGAGCACAGGAGATTAAATTTTTATAAAGAGGTCGTTCAACTGGCTGATAAATAACTATAAAGCTGTGCCATCTTATAAAAAAATCAGTAAAAAGCAAATAAAACTATAATATGTAAATTCTCTTCTAGGAGAATGGCACAATTAAAAGACTGACAATATCAGGTATTGGTGAACTTCTGGACCTGCGGAGAAATTTCATATGCTATAGATGGAGTGTAAAATAGTGCAACCACTTTAGAAAATTGTTTGGGATTATCTGCTAAAGCTGATCATATACATAACCTATGTGTTAGATTGAATTATTGGTCGCAGTTCTTCTCTGTACTGATATTATATCTCTACACCCTTGCCATGGCCTTATAGTGAGTGAAGTGTACTTCTCCATTTTTTAATTTTAGGCTTGACCATGTGACTTATTTTGGCCAATAAAATGCTAATGATTGTGATGTGAACAAAGGCATGAAATATGCATGTGTGATGAGGTTCGTGCTCTTTTGATTCTTCTATCACCATCAGAAGAATATACCCTGAGACACCCACTGGTTTCAGAAGCCAGATAGATACCAGTCTGAACTACTAACCTACAGGTGTGTGAGGGACAAATAAGTTATTATTTTTTTACTAGATTTATGGCAGTTTGTTATAAGCAATTTCACTAATCAGGAATATATGTACATGTACACAGATACATGTGCATTAAAGGCATGGGTGAAAATATTTATGTAAGCATTAGTCATACTATTCCTCAACTAGTAACAGCCGAGAGTTCATTAGTAGCAGTGTGATATGAAAATAAACTCTAGTGTACTCATACAGTGGATTATTTTTGCTATGAAATTTAGAAAGCTACAGCACACTACAATGTGGTTGAATATTAGAAACATAATGTTGAGTGAAATAAGGTAAACACATTGTAGATTTCCACATATATAAAATTCAAAAATAAATGTCCAGACATACATTGTAGATTTCAAAGACATACATTATAGATTTCCACATATATAAAATTCAAAAATAAATGTCCAGACTGAGCTATATTTATTGGAAAGTACTTTCTTAACCAGGACAGAGATCATTTAGATGTTTACTTTGTGGTATATCATTCTTTTGTATACTTTTCTGTATTTTTATTAAACTTTATTATTTTAAAATACTTTAAAAAGTGAATGTTCTCAATTACTCAAATGTGAAAAAAGGAGAAAATACCCAGTCCCAGTTCGTTGTTATTACAGTAACAAAATATTTGCACAAAATTAACTTATAATTTAATTTTTTTCAATGATCTGCTCTCGTATTTGTATCAATTTTATCTCACATAATGATGTCTAGATATTTAGTCTTCATATTGAATAAATTCTGATAATGCTGATGAATATGAGTTATAGGAGTAGAAAACAGAATGATATCAAAGGACCTCTGTCCAAAATACCTTTTTCATGGGTCTGGCATGATGCCCCAAATTCCACCCCTTCTGCTTTATTCTTTCTAGGTAAGATAAGCCATTTTATTTCCAGGAACTCCCTATTAAAATGCAATAAAACTACAGGAGAGGTAAAATATTAAGCTATTATCGAGCACAAACACCTTACTCTGAGATTACTTTTGCAGGAAATTAGCTGTCATGAGAGAAACAGAAAGCAGAGCCTGAGGGGATGATCAGCAGGTAATGATAAAGCAGAATGGAAGGGGAGGGAAAACACTGCTAACAGCTGTGCCCAGAGACTGGGAGAGTACAGGGTGAACAAAGGAGTTACTGGAGGCTCGAAGGCACCTGAGAACCAGAAAGGCCCCTAAGGTTTTGACAGCAGCCTGCTGAAGAGCAACGTATGCATTAGAGGAAATGGTTCAGGTGGCCTCCTTCTGAAAACTGATGACAAAATGAAATTTTGTGCCCCGAGCTTGCTGAGCATTGTTTTTAAACAATGGAACCCTATGTATATACTAAAGATGAATTGACATAGAGAAACATGGTATTTAGAATTCTAGGCTTGCCTTTTATAAAGTCAGATAATCCTTACTTTGTCAGCCTCTCTGGAAACAAGGGCTGTAGAAATGAAACGTCCTCTACAGATGGAGGAGAAAGAAAAGTATTTTTAGGGCAATGGGCTAGAGTAGTGTTTCACAAACTTTCACATACATATACAAATCTCCTGGAGATCTTGTTAAAGTGCACAGACTGTTTCAATGGGTCTGGGTCTGGGATTCTGTACTTCTGAGAAGTTACCAGGTCGTACCCATGCTACTGGTCCAGGATCTACAGCAATACTGTCCACCAGAAATATAATATGGGCCACAGATGCAATTAAATTTCCTGGCAGCCACATTAAAACAGTAAACAAAAATGGAAAAATTAATTTCAATATATTTACATAAATATTTACATAAGTTTATCCAAAATATCATTTGAATGTGTAAGCAACATAAGAAAAATATTAATGAGATAGTTTACATTATTTTCCTTGTACTAAGTTTGTGAAAGCCACTGTATATTTTGCACTCACAGTACATCTTAATTTGGGCTGGTCACATGTCAAATGCACCACAGCCTCATGTGGCTCAGAGCTACTGTATTGGCCAAGGCAGATCTTGACAGAGTATTGATTATTGATTTTTGCAATTATTGAATGTATTTCTATAAACGCAAAATACAAATATAGATTTTTTTTCCTAGTCATTGGTAGCCTTCTTGATCAGAAAAGACCAAAAATGAATTTAAATATAGATGAATGATGCCCCTAATGATGTTGCAACCTCCTATCATTCTGTTAATATTGCATAGTTTATTTCCTGTATTAGCTTAGATTCTTGAGAGAAACATAACTAATATTTAATAAAATATTAATTGTACATTTAAATTACATCTTAGTATGTTAGATGGATTGAGTGATTATAAGAAATTGGCTTACACAATTATAGAGGCTGAGAAGTTCCAAGATCTGCATTTGGTAAGCTGGAGATCCAGGATAAGTATGGTATAATGTATAGTCCAAGTACAGGAGAGGACTGATGTCCCAACTCAACTAATCTCTCTTACTCAACCTTTTATTCTATTCAGGTTCTTCACTGGATGAGGACTACCCACATTAGGGAGGCAATCTGCTTTACTCAGTCTATTATAAAATGTTAATCTCACCCAGAAACACCCTCACAGACATACCCAAACAATGTTTGACCAAATGTCTGAGCCCTTCATGGCCCAATCAAATTCACATATAAAATTCACCATCACACTTCCCTATGAAGTCTTCACATACTTGCCCAGTGAGAAACTTTATCCCTTTCCTGTACTTCTGCACATAGCTCTATAAAGCACTTTTTGTTCTAATTATTCTTCCAGGTCTCAACTATTTGAAAGCATGGGACATTCCTTATTCGTCTTTGTAAATGCCTTCTCTAGCATTCTGACAAGCACGTAATAAGTCATCAGTAAATTCAGTTTACCTTCTCTGTGTTTAGCACTCTTGGATTCAGACATGCTAGCTTAAAGTCACATGACACATTATATGTATATCAATATACCCAATTTAAATGTGAAAAGAGAGAGGTATTAAAGTTAACAAAGCTCACAAAACCAGTAGAAGGTGATTGGGAGACTTAACTAGGTCTGCTAGACTACAGAAAGTGTTCTTATTTTGCTATACCAGTTGTTTTTCAAAGATTAACCAAGTGAGTAAAGGGATTTACTTTGAAGATGAAGGACTGTTTCTTAATTGAACTGAGTGAATACATAACTCCCATATCTGGGCCACACTTAAATTAATATTCAGATATACATAATAGGGAGCCGAATCTTTCAAGAAATTACATTTAGTAAGACAAGAAAAGCAGGGTAGTGGACAATTCTTAAATTTGTGGCCACCCAGCATCTTTTAAGCCCTATATTCCATGACTGACATAGAAGCAGAAAGTCACTTTTCTAGCCTCCATTGCAACAAGTTTATAGGCATGTGACCTAGGATTTGTGAAGCAGACGTAGTCAATCAAATCCTTGATTCAAAAGCAGACCATGTGAGGATGGCTGTGCCATGGTATTTGCATTTCTGGGAGGATGATAAAGCTTGACCAACACCCATTTATGCACAGTGGCAGCAATGATAGCTTCATTGCTTGATTGGTGAAACTAAGTTTAATTTTGACCTTATTCAGCGTGAGTATCCTCGGAATTCACATCTCTGTGTCCACTGGAGGTTATGTGAACAATGAATGCCTAAATTTTTTCAATTACAGACACCTTCAAGTCATCCTGGAGAAGTGACTGCTCACCTCTCTTTAAAGAGGACAAGGGTGGCCACCCGCCAGCCTGGCTATTTCAATGAGAAGAATTTTTCCACCTAGCATGGATCCCACCTCCTTCTTATAGGCTTCTATACTATGCAAGATTTAGTTTTCTCTTCTCTTGTCCACAGCAGCAGTTCTCATTTATAGTCTATGTGTCACCTTCAAATATGGTCTCTATTTACATTTCCACCACTCAGTGGGAAGAGCCTGGTGTTTCAGAGCTATGCATTAGAGCAGAAGACAAGGGCACACAGCTGCTGATTAATTTTTATAGTACATAATTTACACTTTGGATTTTTCTCTCCTGTCTCAGGCGTGAAATGTAGAAGACATCTGCCAAGTCTGGAGGCCGTATGACTGGCACCTGCCTCCTCCTACTTGGTTAGGTGCTATCAGCCGGTACTTCCAGATGTGTGTCTCTTTACACCATCTTCTTTCTTCCCTTCCCTCTTATGTTCAATGTTATGGTTGAATTTTGGAAAAAAGAAAAGTTTGAAGAGCTCCCCCACCAAATGACCTAAAGTTATTACCTGTCCGAAAGGTCACTTTGTCCCATACTTTTATGCCAGACAGAAACAGCTGGTGATATTAATCTTGTATCCCATTTACTAATTTAAAAACTATTTTGAGCACCTTCTACATATTCTGTTCTGGGGCATAGTATGAACAAAACAGACATTATCACTGCCCTCACTCATTTTTAACCTAAAGGAAGAGAACCTAAAAAT